AGGGAAAAGGTGTAAAGCTGCAAGCTGTTTGGCATAGCAGTCACTCTCCACAGAGCTGCTCATTTGGGCAGAGAGTGCCATGCTGGTCCATGTCTGGGTTCTTTGGATAGATGGGAGATTCTGCTGAGGATCTGATATCATGGAGCATGCAGTTACTGCATACGTACTCTGAATTGAACACACAGACTTCAGGAAAACCTTTGGGGAAAGCATCTTTGCAGTATGATCCTAAGCACGTTTACTCAGAAGCAATTCCCACTGAGCTCAATGGTATTTCCTAATACAGTGCTGATAATTGCAGCCTTGGAGGTCAGATCATCTTCTACATCCCTCTTTGTCTCCTCAGTTTATAGGAGCAAACCTGGTTTCTGAAGTTCAAGCTTGAACTGTTTCGGAATGAGCCATGGGATGATGTTCGTTTGGACGGTAGTTGTTTTCCCTGTCTTTCCTCAGTTCCTATAATTTAATGACGTTCACTTTGCATGCTTGGAAATTCCCTTCTGTGGCTCTTCTTGAAACCTGAAGCTTTTTATGGGATTGAGGACAGTGCTGGTGTCTGTGGAGAAAAATAACAACCTAACCAAGTTGCCAAGTACGCTGCCTGTTATGTTTCAGGGCCCATGGATACAATATCTGTGCTCTTGTATTCGTTTAAAACTTCAAATCATATGCATTGGAAAATACCTTTAGTGGTCATCTACACACATATACCCTGCTCAGTGTTGCAATCTTGCAAATACAACACCCCAGTCTCCACTGAAATATCTCCTGTGAAGTTGAGGCTATGAACAGCTCTTAAGGTAAAGGTAAAGGGACCCCTGACCATTAGGTCCAGTCGTGACCGACTCTGTGGTTGTGGCGCTCATCTCACTTTACTGGCTGAGGGAGCTGGCATACAGCTTCCGGGTCATGTGGCCAGCATGACTAAGCCGCTTCAGGCGAACCAGAGCAGCACACGGAAACGCCATTTACCTTCCCACCGGAGTGGTACCTATTTATCTGCTTGCACTTTGACGTGCTTTCGAACTTCTAGGTTGGCAGGAGCTGGGACTGAGCAACGGGAGCTCACCCCGTCACAGGGATTCGAACCGCCGACCTTCTGATCGGTAAGCCCTAGGCTCTGTGGTTTAGACCACAGCTCTTACGTTTCTCCAAATCTTCCTCTGAAATGAGATTCGTTGTGGTTTCCACCCACTAGTTGTACTGCCCTCTGGAGCTATAGACAAAGCCCATCTTCTACATGACAGCTCTTCAGATACTTGTAGGCAGCTGTCACATCTCCCTGAAATCTTGTCTTCTTCAGGATAAACATCCCCAAATGGGATTCCAGGCTAATGACACTCCCAGTAGTAATCCGTTGCATCATAACTCAATGCAAATAATTTTCCTTCATCTATAAAAATGTGGGAGCGATAGACATCGCAATAGCATCCTGAAGTAATTGGGAGTTTTGCATTTAAGAAACTCTTTATGGCCATGTGCCCTGAGAACATTGTTACTGAATCCCATTCCAGAAAAGCACATTGCTCCAGTGCTTCAGTAGTGTAAACAATTAAGAAACACCCTCTCCTAATAGGTGGTAATGCCCCTTCCTGCCTCAGCTGCCTTTGGTAAGAATAATTCAGACTTGGAACCAGCCTCTTTCAAAGCTAAATTCCCATTTTGCTGGGCCCAAATTAACAAGTGTCATTAAGCTTTGAGTCCCATGCTTGATTAGCTGAGATGCCCAAAGAAAAAAAATCACCCACCAAAGTGTCATTTTGAGATATACAGGCTTTTTTGTGTTTATCTCAAATCACCCATCCAGAAAAAGGCTGCCCATCAATTTGATAATGAGGTGATATTATGCTGCCTTTTATCCTAGCATTTAAGTCTTAAATGCTGAGCTCTAGTACAGAAGTTGACATTGTTTTGATTTATTTTCTGAATTGACCATTTGCTGCCTTTCTCACTCACTCCCTCTTTCACTTACTATTTGGTCAAATGTTCTATAGTCTGGTGCAACTGAAGAAGAGTCGATATTGATTTGAGGAAGAAAAGACCACACATAGACATTGTAGGGGGTATCTGCGCCCAGTCTTGAACTGTCCCTATGAAAAAGATCTGTATCTTGGTAGAAGAAATATATGTTTGGTGTTCCTGTGATATATATGTCTATGCCTGTGCATAAGCCCTTGCCAAAAACACAAAAAACCCCCCACACCCCACTTTCAGAGAAACTGTAAGATACTGTATTAAAGAAGTACTCAACCTCCCTGGGGTGAGTAGGTGACATATGCATCCCACATCAAGCTTTATTTGAGTACAATGCCCTCCCCCCCCCGGAATACAATTGCCTAGTATAATTGACATCAGTTTATCATTGTGTAAACAAATACAACAAAACTCTAAACGTTCCCTCACTCTTCTGAAGTTTTGATCTCACGACTCCACCTAATATTAACAGCCCTTTTTTAATTGCATCTCAAACTATGCCATGAAGGCCTAAGAAAGAGATGTTACCCCTAAGAAACAGGTCATGTACAAGAGACTATATTGTGGAGCATCAGCCAGTGGAAAGGTAAAAGGGCTGCTAGAGGATGTGAGGCTCTGCCAGCGTTGCACGGTGTTCGCTCTCTCTGTCACTGAGCACATGGCCATGTGTTGGAAAGGAGTTTGTAACAGTCTGTGCTCTGGCTGGAGTTTATCCTTGCTCTTATGTAACAGTTGCTTTAGATATAATTAAACATGACACTGATGAGCCAAGCAAGCTGCTTAGCATAATGTAATGAAGGAGCCTTTTGCAAATACAGTGCCTTTCCCCCAGAGCCAGGGCAAGTTCGCCTAGCTGCAGGCTATCTGCTTCTGAGATCTGGTGCCAGGGCAACCCCTTCCTGCGGACTTGCACCCAACCTCCGAACGAGACATTCCCCTCTTCTCCGTGCATCTTGAATCCCAGACACCTTGTAGTGCTGGGTCTCCGATTCAAAATGGCTCCTTGCAAAGAGGGGCACAGAGGTGGGCAGCAGCATCTTTTATTCAAATGGGCACCAGGGAATCCTGACTAAACTTGCCAGGATGAGGGTGGGAGTGAGGAGTACTACACCAGAGGGGTAATACAGATAGTGCACGAGGGACTCAGTGGGGTGGTGGGGGTCGCTGCAGAATGAAGCTTTTGTTCCTTTGTGCTCTTCAGCCTCTTGTTTTGCTAGAATTGTAGTGAAAGATAGGAGTGATTATCCACTGTCCGCATTATGATTGGGCAAACAAATGATATCAGCTAGCAAGTGTTTTGGTAGTTTTAATTGGCCAGTAAACCCCTATAAGCGCTGTTCCTCTTTCATGCCCCATTACTCTGGCGCCAGTCTTTTTGTAAAGAAAGCCTGGCACAATGACTGAGATCTCCTAATTTGTACAGGTGTTTTTACTGATCTGTTCTGGCATTTCACAAATACCCGTGGGGAGCAGGGAGCTGGGAGTTGGCTTCCGCCCGGAAGGGGCTGCTTGTGTAGCACATAGGAGCTTAGGCACATATGTTGTTGCACCGGCATAGTCTGGTATGGAAGATTGGGATACCACTACTCAGTGCACTAAGCAGCAGATGTTTACATGAAGTTGATGATGGTATCATGATTTCTCATTAAATAATTAGCCAGTGTTGTCTGTAATCCCTCCAGATGGGCTCGTTTAGCTGCTAGGATTTCAGGGCTTCATATCCCTGTACCTAGGAATGCAAAGGATGCTTATGAGAGAATGAAGCCAAGTGACGATGTTAAATGGGGCAGCGACGATAATACTATATATGTAGGAATGTTTCAACTCACAGGGAATGTAGATGGGCTTAGCTATAATGAGTGAAAGTACTTTACATTTCTTATGATCAGGAGAGACTTATCGCGCACCTATTTCATGGCAGCTGCTAGTGGCGAGCTTAGCCAAACGTATCCGATAGGGTATTATACCACAGTCGAATGCTTTAGTCCCAATGACTCATAACCGCCACACTACAATCGCGATTTACCAAGCTGCGCTCATATGTATCACCCAGCTTTGGGGACTGGGAAGCTTTGCTGCAGGGAATCTGGGCTCACCAATGAACATCTCTCTCACCTTTTCCCTAACCCCATTTGTAAATCAGGAGAGATGTGCCTGCCTGAGCTGGAAATGCATAACCTTCAGATAAATTTTTTTTAAACCCCTCAAAATAAAATTTAAGCAGATTAATGCAGTAGTAGTGCATTGTTGAGTAAGAAAAATAAGCATGTTTATAACCTGCTTTCTAAAAAACAGTATATTGTGGGGAACATTGATTTGGGGAGAAACAAGCAACCATATGAGAGAGAGTGTATGTGTTAAAGGTCACAATATTGCATAAGCTTTGGGGGTGAGGGTTGCCACATGTCACTAATGAAATTTATAGGCAGTAGGCAAAATAAGGAGCCATGACATTTGTTCAAGAGCATTGTACGCAGACCTTGGAATAGCCTTCTCTACCTGAGGAGAAATAATAATTAATAAAAACAGTTTCCCAGTGAGAAACTGGTATAGTTGGAGTACTGAAGAAAATGTGAAATCCCTATAACAAAGGTTCTGCTTTGAGGAAGGAGATATCAAAATTCAAAATACCAAATGAGAGATGGTGGTACTTTACTGCAATATAAATTAACCACCCGGAAAGGTTTTGAGATAGCCGACGGTGATTAGTGACCCAAGTACTGGAGGCATTTTCAAGAATTGTCAGGTTTAAAACAAAAGAACACCAACAACTCCAAAACCTGTTTAGTACTTCATCAGTTTAGGCTGCCATTTCAGAAACAGGGCATAAATGTGGGCTGCTAGATCATGACCTGGTGACTTTCAGAATCCTCTCTTGAGACATGAGGCACACGAGCTCTTCTAACTTCTGAACCCGAAGTATAGAGCTGCTGCCTTGTGATGGCTGTGGGGTATGGGTTGGTAGGGGCCATGGCTTCTCTGCTGTCCTCTCATGCCCTACGGTGCATCTGCTTTTTCTTTTGCAGATGGTGAGCGACTGGGCGAGGTGACAGACCCTGGCAGGCATGCGGCGGGGGCCCATGCATCCTCTCCTCAGAGGAAGGCTGAGGACTCCAGCGAGAGCCGGGAGGACGAGCAGATGGTAATCTCACTTGCGCCTGGCTCCTTGCTTTCTGTGTTTTGTGTGCTAATTAGAAAATAAGTTTCCTAACAGTTTCTGTTTGGGATATGGAGATATCTCTGCCGCATCACTGTGATTTACTCTGCATACTAGGAGAAGGGCAGTGGAGGAAAGGCAGTGGTTCCTAATCCCAGGTACTTAGACCATATGATGTCACACATCCAACAGGTGAGGGTGGTTTGCACAGAGGCCTGGTGGACCTAATTAGGCCTTTGAGCTGGAGGTCCACCACCACTGCAGTAGAGGAAGGGGCAGTGTGTTGTATCTGATGTCATGCTAAGTTTCTCTGAAGTTCTGTGTCACTGTGTGGATGAGACCCCACCGGTCCTCTCCTCTCCTCTTCTGAGCTTGGCGGTGGTGGGGGCTTCTCTTTCATGGTGTTGGGAGCAACTTCATGGATGAGTTCTCACTTTCCCCCCAAGCTTTAAGTTGTAAGGACCTCACAGGCATGCCTAGGGCAAGGCCAATTGAGAGACTCCTTGTTTTTCTCAGGAGCCTGAAGGGGCTCTCCCTGACCTCATATTGTCCTTGAAGATGGTAGGAAGTCTTTGAGGTATTTATCTACTTCCTAAGCCTCTCCAAAGCCCATGCAACAGGCAGGAACAGCCTGTCTACCCTGCCACACCTCTAGGCTCTGGAAAAGGGCATAGGTTGTTACGAGGTTAAAACATGCACTTACCATTGGTGAGCTGCCACACACATTTGCAGGCCCTTGTCAATTTCTTACCTGGGCATTATAGACTAGATGCAAATATATCTTTGGATGTGAGGTACTTTTGAAGGCCTGTGACAGGCTGTTCGCTCTATTATTTAGACCAGGCTTCCTCAAACTTGGCCCTCCACATGTTTTTGGCCTACAACTCCCATGATCCCTAGCTAGCAGGACCAGTGGTCAGGGATGGTGGGAATTGTAGTCTCAAAACATCTGGAGGGCCGAGTTTGAGGAAGCCTGATTTAGACTGTTATTCTAATCCAAAGGCAGGAGGTGGCTTAGGTATATTTTTCAGTCTGTTACTTATAATTCAATACAGACAAAATAAAAAAATCTCTCCAGAAAACCACATTTACGTTCATCATTCTTTCCAGCGTGCTATATCATTTCCCAGTTTCACCGTTTCCCATATTGTTCCCTTGCCTTTCTCCCATGGAATTTCCTCCATTGCTGCAACCCATATTTTCTCCAGGCATGGGGATCTTGGAAAGGGGCAGGAACAAACACCTATTGAAGACGGATCAATGGGGCAGGGGTCTGCTGTCACTGACAGTTAACATAAGGTAGGGACAAGATAAATAGTGACAGTAGCTAAAAAAAAAAAAGCAGTCCCTGCTGTGTAGGGACTCGGTGATGCTCAGCATTGTGGCCACAGAATGTGTCCTTTGGTAAATATCACTGTGAATGTAAAGGGCCTAGATTGCCGCACATAGAGCATTGTTATGAGTCTCTTTTTGCTTGAGCGTGATTGCCCTTTGAGCAGTGATTCATTGGAGTTGGCATTTCTTCGTAGGATAAAAGGGGGGTATTGGCAGTGCTTCTGCCTGCTGAAGGTGCACAGCTTCTCTGTTAGCTCCCCCATAATGCTGGTTAGTATGCATTCATTGTCCCTTTAGGGCAATATATTGCTTTATGATTCAGACATTGGCTGTTCCCAGCACTGGGCCAGTTTCCCCAGGCAGGTTGTGTATGACAAGAGGTTTGTGTATGTGGAAGGGAAACGGACTGTGTCACCACCTGCCCTTGGCGCGTCCCTCATTATGGTAGCAGTGAATATGGGAGGCATTTGCACCTTCAGAACAGAGAAGGAAATATCGACAACACTGGACTCAAAATAATGCAGAACAATTAGTGTAAGCTGAGGAGAGTGTGGTATGTCACACACCCACGTACATGACACAACTGAGTCCTGTGCAGAGGCAATAAATCATAACATTTAACAATATGTTGATTATATGTCCTTAGAGACTGGGGAAGAGCGAGACTTAAAGAGAATATACCTGTTCATGCAGAAGCAAACACATTTTTACTGTTGCAGCCTGCACTTCAGGCAAAGGCAGAATCTTCTCTCTCGTGCTAGAAGCACAACCATTTTTGTTGGCCCTATTTGTGGCCCCCACACTTTGGTAGAAGTCTTGAAGAACAAGGCTTTAAAATATGAATCTGCTTAGGTATTCTAACGTATGTATACCTTATATATTGGCTTTTCATAACACCTGGAATTTTATTTCCATTCTGGGTGTTGTTGTTTTTTTAAAAAAATAACTGGAATAGTGGTGAAATAAATGCCTTCCGGGTTTTCCTCCCCATTTTTCCTCTGTTTTATTTTTTCTATTTCTATATGCATTTTTCTTTGCTACACTTATCCCTTTTACTGTCTTTTCTATGTGTTCATGTTAATAAAAATAAATAAGAAAGAAGTAAATCAATGAGGGGATGGATGATAGGAAGAGAGCACAGTAAGTGTGTTTCCAGAATTCATAACCATAAAGGGTAAATTCATTTACTTATACAAATTTTCCTCTCTAACAGTAGTCCCAACCCTTTAACTACCCCCCCCATAAAACCCTGCCATTCATCTCATTAAAAGCCTGATGGAACAAAAACTCCTTATTCTTGTTTCCAGTGGCGTAGCGTGGGGGGTGCAAGGGGGGCCAGCCGCACCGGGAGCAACATCTGGGGTTAGGGCAAATCCACGGGTTAGGGGGCGCAAATTACTTGCCTTGCCCCGGGTGCTGACAACCCACGCTATGCCACTGCTTGTTTCACCTTTTTACAGTGGTGGCTTCCCATATCATGCTTGTAGACCAAAGGCAGTCATGCAAAGCATGAGAACTGAACTACACATCCAGAAATTTCACACTGCACAGCCCTCTTTGGACTAATTCAGGTTGCAGATGGAATGATTGCATGTTCAAGTGCTTTCCATGTAAAAACAGCAACAAGAACAAACTGACAACCAAAATGAAATAAACAAAACACTTCTTCCATGAAGAAAACCTGTATGTTGGAGAAGGATGGTTTGGCATAGCCTCACTTCTTCATCAAATGCTCGTTTTCTATGTGCCAGAGAGAGCTTTTATGTAGCACCCTCCCTCCCTGCATTCTGAATTTGTGCAAATTTAAGGAAGTCATATTTCAGGATATTTCTGAACATGTTGGCTGAGAGTGGTTCTCTTAATACTTCACGCTTGTTTAGATGTATACAAAAACCATTTTTATTTTCCAATTAGATTGCATTTTGCTACACAAGGGAGAGTAATTGTTAGAGAGAATAGCAGCCATATGGATCGTTTGAGGCCCATTTTAAAGCCATTGTGCTGAACAAAATTCAAGGAGATAATTCACAGTTAATTTGTTTTCGTCCCTTCTTCCTGGGTGTAAGTAACACATTGTGCGACAGGACATCCTTCTGTTGTAATTTGGCTTGTCTGCCCTTCCTTACAGCCCTTGTTCATTACAAAACACAAACTTTGTAATGTTTGTGCTCCTGGTGCCAATACCCACCCTTTCCTGCCCTTGAGAGCAAGGGCTTTGCCAACTTCTCCCTGACAGATGAGCAGCAGCTAAAGGGCCAATCACCCAAGGCAAAAGTTGAAAGGACTTGTGTTGTCGAAAACCACCAGCAAGGGTCCAGTAGTATTTTCCTCATTTCCTGTCAGGACAGGTGATGGGCGCTGGTCAGCAATAACTCACAAGGCATCAGTGAACTCTTTATTCAAAGAAACAAAACAGTTTAGGCCTAGTGAGCACAGCAACTCTTCCCAGTAGATCTTGCCCCCATGAGGCACTTGCAAGGAATGAAGGTTGCAAGGAATGAGCCTTCCCACAGCTCTCTGTCTCCACCCCGCATGGTCATTCACAAGCAATCTGAGGCTCCCTGTTGTCTGTCTTTGCTCCACCCTCTTCATACCTCTGTGGGTTCTGGGAGAACAGTGGGGAGGAGAGATTCCTTGGCTTCTTCAGCAGCATGTCTCATCTCGGCCTCCCTCCTCTCCAGCCTCTGCTTCTGTATCTGTTTCTGGACTGCTCTCTGCCATAGATCTTCCTGCTCACTAAACCCTGTTGCCTCTTCAGCTTCTGACACCGCCTTCTCCCAGTCTGCTCTATCTTCTCCGTCTGACCGACTCATCATCGTCCCACCTCCTGGCTCTGAGCCTTCTTACCTTGGGGTTCGCTAGCTGGTGCCTCCCACCACTCCTCTACATCCAGCTAGTCCATGACATTTCCTTGGCCAAAGATTGATCTAGACCTGCAAGCCAAGGGGAAGCTAGCTGGACTCCAGTTCCCTAAGCATGGCTGCTTCACCCAAATGTCAAAAAGCAAAATGAAGGACAGACGTTTGTTTTTCTGCTAAAAGGTTAGGAACTGGCCTGTTGAAAGTATAGCAAGTAGCTAATAAGTGGAAGAGAAATAATCCATGAATTGTTCTTTTCATTGTTTAGTAACAATTCTTTATGCTTTCAGTCTCTCACATTCCTCTGTGCTCAGGAGTTAAGAGTCTCTTATACAGCACTGTGAACTGGAACATTTTCAAAACTACTATCACATTTTTTTAAAAAAAATTTTTACTGGCACCAGTGCTTTTGTAGCATACAAAGCAAATGAGAAATAAGGTTGCTAAATGCTGATCTGGAGATACTAGTAGTGTTTTGGTTTTTCTGGATCCCACCTTTTGGTGCTGGCTACAGTTGTTGTAGCCCAGGGTTAGGCAACCTAAGGCCTGTGGGCCGGATGTGACCCAATCGCCTTCTCAATCCGGTCCATGGACTGGCCGGGAATCAGCATGTTTTTACATGAGTAGAATGTGTGCTTTTATTTAAAATGCATCTCTGGGTTATTTGTGGGGCATAGGAATTTGTTCAGTTCTCCCCCCCCAAAAAAAAATATAGTCCGGCCCACCACATGGTCTGAGGGACGGTGGACCAGCCCATGGCTGAAAATAGTTGCTGACCCCTGTTGTAGCAAT